ACTTGGATTTTAATTGCAATTATCAAAATTTAGAAGCTTAGAGAATACGAGGTACCTCATCTACTCATATCTGGAAGATATTTGCCAATTTATCATTGTTAATTCATAAATTTGTTCAAAATATATAATCAACATTCTAAATTTAAGTTGTTAAGGAAAAAAAAATGTGATTAAGAAAAGGAAATGTGGTAGTCTTCTTGCCCCAACTAGAGAGGGGCCATCCTGCCGAATTCCGGACCTTGTGTGTTTCACTTGTAAGACACGCTACCCCTACTTGGCTACTTTATTATTTTAAAACTAGAAAAAAAAAAATTAACAGTAAAATTTATTCATGACTTTTTTAAATATGAGAAAATCCGTAATACATGGGAAGAACAGAAGGAATGGGTTTGTTATTCTCGTAACCATTTCTAAACTTTATAGTACTAGTTTAACTAATAAGAGTATCTTATTTGCATTTCATATGTGAGTATAGCTCAACTTGTACACAAGAAAAATAATAGTTACAAAAGAAAAGACATAAAAGAGCGAGCACTTACATATTTAAGGAGCCACGAGCCTGTCGTGAAACTAAGGAATTTGCTAATACAAATGATCCAACCCCGAGATCCATCTAGCATGTCCAAAACACAATGAGAAGGATAATAGTATCATATCATATAACTATGATCACAAACTTATGACCACAGTTCCTCAAAAACATGAGACTAAAGTTCTGATTCCCTTCGTATCTTAACTAAAATATCAAATTCATGGTCCAATTAGTTCAATGGAAAGGAAATTCTGGTAAGAAATCAACATAAATTTACCCTACATTAAACTCTACTCAAACAAAATACAATATATTTCTCGAAAGTATATTACTCCTAATTCCATTTTGGGACATTCCAAAATAGAACTCCGTTTCCTAACAGAATATTTTTATAAGTACCCTTCACTCAAAATAATGAGATTGGCAATTTTTCTTTTTCTTTTTTAATTTTTTTTTTTTTTTTTTTGTTATTATTATTATTATTTTTTTGTTGCAACTCTCATCCAAAATTTTCAATTCCTGACAAAATAGGAATCATAGGAGCTATAATTTTGAGATGGAGTACCATACAACTGCACATAAAATTATAAACAATGTACTTGATCAAATGGGTATATATTCTAAATTAAATGCATTAGTTCTTACCAAGCCAGTGCCGTACGTCTCTGTTTTTGCATATCTTCTGGGAAATATCTTGAAATCAACCGCCAGAATAGCGAGGGATGTCGCAAGCATCTACATAAATTCATAGTCTTCACCAAAAATTTCAACAAAAATCCTATTCAAAATAACGCAACCTGCCTATCTAATGACGTACCATGGAAACCCTATAAGATGAGATATTCACCCTAACAGAGTCCATATAACCTTCCTGCAACAATGAAGATCGATTTCTGTTCGGACGATTAAATTAATTCCAACTAAATGTATCCATATAAGAATTACTATAAAACAATTTTCAGAATCAATGAAGCCATTCAGACATCTTACTTATCAATCTTTAGATCTCACAGGTTGACCTATCAAATGTTCTCAGGAAAAGCAGCAGCACAAATACCAGGATGGTGATCCCATAAGTGAAGTCTGCCAGAACCTGTCAATGGCTAGTCACTTTATCAACTAGAATCACGACACATTTTTCTATATCTGATAAACATTTAGAAGCTAAGAAGATCATTAAGATCTGATAACAGTTCTCGAATATAGACCACAAATGTGAATAGTAATGTAGATATATTACTTTTGTAATCTTTCGATCCCAAAACGTTATACGGCAGCAAAAAAAATCTGCAATTTTTCAAAACCGCTAGTGTCTATGAAGTTACTTATGAGACCTCACTGTATAAAAGATTAAGAAACCATGTTCCTATTACTGTTACTTGAGCATTACTGTTACCAATATGTTACGGGACTAATCTCAAGACATGAGTCTGTTAAAGCCCCTCGACACAATATGGAAAAGTATATATTTCCTAATGCCATCTTAAATGATGAGGATTTTCTCACAGGCAACTCAAACATGTAGGAATGTGCTAGCGTTCCGATATGCCTCCAAACGTCAAAAGAATATTACTACAGTTGAGAAGTTGAGCAGCAGAAACGGAACAAGGCAGAGAATTCAAGAAAATTATTTTCATCTTTTCCCGGTGTAACAAGATAAGTTTTCATGTGTATCACTATTCCCTTTACCAGTGATATTTCCTATGCTAAATTCTGATGAATTATTCATTTTCATTTGCCTCTTGACTCTTTGCCATGTCAAATACGAGTCCGAACTTAGGCTCACACATATACAAGTCCAGGGATCAGAAACTAATCACATAGGTTTAAACACTTCTACAAGTTTTGAAGATAAAGAATACTTACAGTAAGAAACAAAGTATAAGGAACAACAATGCAGAGAAAATCGACAATCAAAGACACAGTGTAGGCTTTCAAACCCTTGCCACCGGTAGCAGCATTATCATCTTTCTTAACAGAACCTGATAAAAACAAAGAGACCAGCAATTAAAAGCGATATTTGGCCATAAATAAAAACATTACTACGAACTAAACAACAATGAATCCTTAAATTGTACTGTAAAAATGAATCTCCAGTAGAGTTTACGATAGTGTAATTACCACAATTGATCCAATTGAATCCGATGCAATGCCTAATCAGAATCAAAATCTGGCAAAGCAGAAACACAATCATAAGAGCAATCTAAAAACACACTGAAAAATATAATATATTTTGATGCTCACCGAAAAATTTGTGAGGAGAGAGAAAATTTCGAGCTTGGAAGACCCTGTTAAATTGCTCACAAATCTGAAACAAAAAAAAAAAAAAAAAAAAAAAACAAATTGAAGCAGCGTAGAAGGATTGTATGATCTCAATTTGAGTGAGTAGGTTTCCGATTGTGCTTACTGCTCTTTGAGATGTTTATGGGGATTGAAGGACTCCATGGATGAGTTCGAAGTTGAGCTTTGGAAATGATATGCGAACTGTTGCAGCAGAAATCTAAATCGAATGGGGTGGAGTTATATTAGGCCCGTTCAAAATGTAGGCCCGAATAAAACTACCAATTTATTGCTCCTTGGTCAGGCCCGATCTCTGCCGGTCAAGAACCACTGAACCAGACAAACTGCAATCTCTTTTTTCCTTTTATTGTTCAAAGTTCTCCTTTTTTCCCCCTTTTTTTTTCTTTTTCCTTTTTTTGTTTGCTTTTTTTTCAAGAGATGGCATCATGTAGGCATGGCCATGGCCGGTTGGGGCCAGTTCACGGTTCACTTTTT